GGTGGTAGAGCCAAATAAACACTTCCAAGGGGGTTCAACATGTTCAATTTCGCCGGGTTTTATGATATGGATACAATGATGAAATCATTGAAACCTGGCAACAGGCCTGGCAACATTTGGAAATATGAAACACCAAAAGCTCCGAAGAAAACGGTGATCTGATCAACGGTGGTGAGTGAAAATACCACCAAGTTTCGAGGCGAAACTCTACTCGTTTATACCATGCCTCAGCAATCTGTGACGTTTCCTCCAAGAGGGCCTTTGAAATAAAATTCTGGTTGGCGCTTTCAAAACGAGATAGCAGTCAATTGGAGAGATGGAAAACACCAAAAAATTGAAGCCACCAACCAGTTCTTTGGATTGTAGCCAATTTATATCTCAATAATTCTTGATAAAATAACCCAATGTTCTGTTTTTGTTCACCGTTGCTTAAACCACAGACTCCGACAGTGTCACAGCCACACAGGTCTCATTTTCACCTGCTGAATACACAATTCATATATAATCCTGACGCGAAAATTGAAATAATTCCACCGGAGAAATTCCAAATCAATTGATAGTTACCTGGGATATATTTTAATATGAAACTATAATATGCTATATTTTACATTTAAAGTATTGAATAGTAATGAAAGCGGCAGGCAAGCTGGTTTTCATTTGACACACAATCCCAAAAACATTGATGAACATATCAAAAAACAAGTTCCTAGAATCTTCCTAGGAAGGCCTCTTAAAGAATAGGAGACCGTTAAACAACAGTATACATCTTAAAAACTGAATCTGTTTTTTTTTGCCGGCCAAACTGTCCCTTAAAAAATACAGTTTTTTAAAGACATCATGTCCTCAAGTCTTTAGGCTAAATTCCCAGGAGGATAATGAAAATATCATTAAACATTATCTCTCTCCTTTCATTATTTTTTTTGTCCAATCGACCAGGTCTGATTGAGGAATTGACATGGTTTCCTAAAGATGATGTTCCACCATTGCTTGGCATATCTAAGCACATGCTATGGCAAGAGAAACTCTCTGATGACCCTACAGACTTGGTTTAGGCGCGAAAAGTAAGGGAACCTCCATATTTGGATGGTATAAAATATGTTTCCCCTGCCATTTTTCCCATTTTTTCCCCTTAACCAGCCTACTTTAAACTGCTCAGCTGCACCTGTTGTTCCCCCTCTGAGCTCCGAACCCGGGACCGCTCATGGGGAGCGCCGGGCCGCAGTCGGGCTAGGCTACTGACATGGCCACAGTTTTCTTCCCGCTAGGTGTTCTCGAAAGACTTGGCATGGTCATTGATATGTCATGGAATGTCATTGTGTACTTGAATTTCAGAGGTGAAACAGGAAATGGAAACAGTAGCAAAAAAAGTACCATAGAAATCAATTAGGCAAAAAAAACACAGATGGCGATGGCCACGAAACCAATCGGATGTTTCGGCTCTCGCTGATGTCAACATGGTAGGGGCTGCTTGAGCCTTGGCACCCAACAGACTGAATAGACGCCATCCACTTGACCTGGCTGACTGTGAAGCCAACCGTGGACAACGACGAAGGGGATAGAAAATCATGGTTAGTACACCTATTTTTACGTTCGCAGCTGCTTATAGCAGTTCTAATAAATACCCTTATCAATCACTGACTGAGTAGTAGTTGTAGACAATGACGCTGCCCGCACTTGCCCGCACTTGCCCGCACTTGCCCGCACTTGCCCGCACTTGCCCGCACTTGCCCGCAGCCGCAGCGCAGGCCAGAGGCGATCGCCAAAATGGTGGTGGATCTAGTCCGCATCGTGGCGCTGCTGCAACACATCAGCACGTGTAGCTGCAGCAAACCTTGGTAATTTGTTGTCATGGTCCACCTTAGTAGGGTCAGTAGTGGGCCACGCAAGTCTTTCCTGCAACACATCGTGGGGTCCCAATAGTAGAATCACGGTGTGGGTTCTGAGTACATTCCCAAAGCATGTGATGTACAGTGGCACAAACATGTTGGCAATAAGGGCATGTTTCTTCAGCACCTCCCATGGCATTCCGACATTGAGGTGAAATGAAAGCACCAGTTACAACAGCCAGTTCGTGACTGTTGAGTTTTTTCCTGCGCAGAATATTAATGCGGGACAGGTCACATGGAATGTCTGCAGAAACCGTTGAGTCGCGTCGGTCAAGTGATTCGCCAAGCATCTCTGAGCCTATGTGACAACACTTCGGTCGCCTTTTCAGGCAGCGTGGTTGGTTGAATCTGAATAGTTTCAAGCATCGGGTGCGTCCAGGTCCAACTACCAGCCTCAGCGAACCCAAGTTCTTGCATGCCTTTTCTAAAGCTACCCGTCCAGCCACTCATCTTTGGCGGCCAGTTCTGCAACTGCATCTGTGTTTTGTGAATCTAGCGGGTGAGGACCCGGAGAGTCGTGACCGTGGCAGCAAAACCTAAGTCCCACCAATGGCCAGAAAAGATTTGGAGTAAAGGCACGGCTGACTGCTTTGGCCACTGATGCAGCGCTTTTGCTCCCTGAAAGAAAGCGCTGCTTTCAGCATGAGTGGGTCTTCGAAACAGCCATCCCCAACTTGCCTTTGCTGGGGCACAAACCCTGGCAACTGCAGCTTTACGTGTCCTGGAACCTGGGAGGCACCTACATTTTCGAAGAACTTCTTTGGCCTCAGTGAGTCTTTTCAGTTCTCTGTCTTTGGCTTTTCTTTGGGTCACTCCCATGAACTGGAATCCCAACAAGGTGATGGAAGTGGAAACAGTTTCCTGAGGACAGCCGGCATCCTCGAGAGATCGGCAACCTTGAACGTTGCGGTGGTAATATTGCTCTTTGGTGGGGTTTTCTTGAAGACCAACCTTATTGCTCCAAACATGCCATTTATTTCGAACTTGCCATATTTCAGTCGCAGTGGAACAAGTGAAAGAACGATCATCGGCATATAAAGCTTGAACGCAACTAGGGTATTTTCTCTGAATGTGATTGGCTATGGGAGCAAGCAAAGCACACATGCCTAACATGCTAAAGCAGTCACCTTGCGGCAGGGAGCGCTTGACAACATGGTTGTTTGGGAAAAGATCGTCATGGAGCTGAAGAAAACGGATTTGTTCGCTCCACATGCTTAACAACATGCGTGCAGCTTTGCGCGGCATACCTTGGTGGACAAAGAGTTTGCAGATTATCTCAGGGTCAGAATAATCAAAAGCTTTTGTCAGGTCAAGTGTGCCAACCGGCCAGCTATGCATGTCTTTGAGGAGTATGTGAGAGATAGCATCCTCAACACCTTTTTGGGGAATTCCCCCAAACACGAATTCGGGGGTGGAGGTGTGGATCCATTCCTGAACCTCAGTTTGTTTGAATCTGGCTCGGCTGCAGATTCGCCAGATTATCGACATCACAGCTATGGGACGCATGTTGTCCGCCAGCATGCTGCCGTCAGCTTCAGGTGGTTTCCCTTTCGGGATATGCACTTGACGAACACATCGCCATATGGTAGGAATGTTTCCGAGCTCTTCACAATGATCATAGACCCCTGACATGACCTGCCACATTTCGTCACTGAACAAACTGAGTTCCTCAGCTCTCCAGCCGTCGAGCCCCGGCGCACTGCCGCGGCTACACTTGGTGGCAGAACGGAGCTGTTCCGGTGTGAGGCTGGGTGGAGTGACTGGGAACAGAGTCTTTGGTTTTCTTAACCGCATTGCACATGGGAACAGGTTTTTGTCGCAGCCACCTGTATGCAGCCTTGTCATGTTCCATGTTGTTTCTCCATCGTTGAAGTCTGGTGTAGTCATCTTCATGATTGAAACGTTCCAAAAGCGTTTCAAGATGCCGAAGGTTTCTTTGTATACCCCAATCAGGGTTGTACATAGAACACCGTCGGATTTTATTCCAGAGAACTCAGCTTTCAGTGATATTTTGCATGTCTTGATCCTAGATTCGCTGGGCTTCCCGCAACCTTCCAATCAATCTGCGCAGAACTCTTTGGCGGTGGGTAGCCATAGCTCCAGCAGGATGTCGTTTCATGTGTTCTTTCTGTTTGAGAGAGACCTCAGTGGCCTTTCCTTTCCTCAGTAAGGCAGGAGACACGCGCTGCAGCATGTCAGGGGCAGCAGCCCTGACTGCACAAACAAGGGCTTGAAAAAAAGTTTGCGAAAGCATCTGCCAGTCCTGATCAACATTGACTGACCATCGCCCTGGAAGTTGTGTGGAAAACTGCGGCCAGAGCTGAGCCAATTTGATTTGGATTCTTTCAGCAACTTCCGGGTCCTTCGGGAGGATTCTTGGAATGTTGGCTTGTTGGAAACCTAAAACAGGTTCGGTAGACAAATCGAAACAAGTTTTGACAATTTTGTGGTCCCCCTGAGATGACCCGCAACGGGAAGCAATGGCAGCTGACAATTGATGTGCCTCGCAGCGGGCGGCAGATTGCAGATGCGCTGAGCGAATATGGCTCCGTGGATGCGGAAGCTGGTTTTAAACTTTTGACGGAAGTAAGTGCAACTACTTTCGGTATCCACTCCTACGGTTCTGGTTCTGACCCCTCAAAACGTAAATTCCCTGGGATCCTCAATGTGATTTTGGATTTGGTCGCTAGGTGTCACCTTGGGAAGTTTGGATTTTACCCTCTGAATTTTGTTTCCCCCAAAATGTGAAATTTTGGTCAGGAATGGTGGAAGATTGGGTTTCGCCCCTGGGAATCTTTTCCCCTCGAAATGTGGAATTTTGAGATGGGATGGTTTGATGAAAAATTTGATTGGTCACCCTTTCTTATCTGGATTTGTTTGGGCACCATCATGTTAGCGAGGTCATGTGAGCTTAACTGTCGGCTCTGCAGAGCTTTCACACATTGCGGGCAGTATGAAGCGTTCTGGCAGGCTTCAGAGTCTTTCCGGCCTGATTGTTTCCAAGCTTCAAACCTGCAATACCTCCAAAATTCTCTGGGCTGATGTTGAAGATGGGTTCCTTCAGCATACCAAGAATTAGAGGAGTGGTTCAACGATATGCGACAGGAGAGGAGCCTAAGTCCAACATTCCTTGTCTGAGTGCTGCCGTCCATCCTGAAAGTTTTTGTGGCCACCGGCCTAAAGAGAGCATAGTTTTCTTATGAAGAATGCGCGCTGATGTGGCAGTGGCAAGAAATTTAAGATCCCAGTGGCGTCCGCAAATCAAGAAAATCAAGTCCATGGAGCCATGTTTGAGCCAGAAAAACAAAGTATTCGGTGCTCTGACCAAGGGAGCGCAGTCACGTTCTGAACGGCGTTTACAAACCCAACCCCAAGATGCTTTTGGGCAGACGGTCATTCTGGCCGCCCGCGATTTCTCCCCACTGACCTTGGCAAGACACGGATCCGTAGCATTTGGCTTTCGGTCTTATCAAGTCGGGAAGATTCTGCTTGATTGAGTTTTTCTGTCTTGAAGCGCTCGAAAATGATAACCAAGGATTCGCATATCAGTCTTGACTTGGGTCTCAAGGCAGCCGGCTTCAAGAAGCTTGCGTCTGCCCGCAGCTGCTTGATGCCAGAATTGTGCTTTGTCTGCATTTTCTTGCAGGCCTAGTAGAGAGGCCCATTGCTGCCACCGTTCGGTGATGCGCACGGCATCGTGGGCATTGTCAACAGCAAAGTTTCTATCGTCGGCATACAGGACCTGGGTGACAGAAACAAATTCTTGCTGTACGGCGATGGCCGCAGGTATAAGCAAAGCACTGATACCAAGCATTGACCAACTGTCACTCTGTGGCAACCTATGAGAAACACCTTCATGCTGGGGGAAAAAACTCACCCATATACTGGACCCATTTCTGCTGATCTGACCAGACATCGAGAGTGGGGGCCAGAACATTTTGAGGCATACCAATTCGGTGGAAAATCTGGCCCGCTAGCTGCGGTGATGCTGTGTCAAAAGCCTTACGCAAATCAAGCGTTCCGACAAGCCAACCTTTGCGCGCCATGTGAAGCAACGGAGCTATGGCATCGTCAGTGCCACGCCCTTTGATGCCGGCATAAAAGTATATGGCAAAGGCCGCAGCAATCCAGGCTTGGCAATCCGAGTGTGCGAACTGGGCTTTTGACAAACACGCCACATCAAGCTGGAAACACTAATGGGGCGAAGATCATTGACACAAGTTGAACTGTCATTTGAGAGAGGGGCGCCTTTGCTAATTTGAATCTGCCAAAAAGCTTTCCCAATATCGGGGACCTTACCGAATCTGAGGCAATGGATATTGTAGAATTTTGCAATGCAGCCCCACGTGGCATCAGAAAAAAGTGACATGTCAAAGGGCGTCCATCCGTCTGATGCCCGGTTTCGGCAGTCATCTGCTGCTCTGCGCAAATGAGCGCCTGAGAAAACCTGCCACTGCATCGCATCTCTGTGAGGGACCTGTTGAATAACTTGTGGCCACACCACGTCCATGTCAACCGGAGTGCGATGCCAAATTCTATACCTGAAAATGACTATGTTGCGGATGGCTTCTTGCACAGAGCTGGCTACCGGGTCACGTTTGTTGACACATACAGCAGGGGAAACAACTTGGGGTTGTCTCCGGAGCCAAGCAAGGGCTGCCTTGTCGTCAGCCATCTTGTTTTTCCAAGCTGCAAATCGGTATTCACGTTCATCATCGACACAGGACTCCAAGGCACGTTGCACTGAAACGATGTTCATGGCCAGTGAAGTTTGTGGATTAAAATGAAGGCTACTATTATATGGGGTCTAGGTTGTAAAGATCTCTTAGCCAGTAGCCACGGCGCCGAACTTCCATGAGCCGCGCCAGCAGGTTTTGCAAACATCTTCGTTTGTTGGTGGCAAAACATCCAAGTGCGCGACGACAAGAAAACTGCTTTTGCCGAATTGTCACCTTGGTGTTTTTTTTACGCTAAAACTAAAGAGGCAAGTCTCTTCCATGGGTTCTCTTATAGGAAGTTGTGAGTGTCTGCCACAACTCCCGATTGATGTGATCCCAAGTTGACATCATCAGCTGCACCCCAAGGAACGTGGAATTCTTTCCACACGTCTTTAGTCTTTGATGGCTTGATCCCAAAGCTCCCTGCTGACCTCAATGGCTTTGAGGCGAGGCACAGGTGGATATGGTGCTGCATCTGAACGGAAATCACATTCATGGTGCTGGTCAAATTGCACGTCATCATCATCCTCCGCTTGTCCTGAGGCGCCAGGGTTGTCACAGGCATGTGTTTTTTGGAATTTTTGGTCCGAGGGACGAGGGAGTGAACACTCGGTGTACCTTGGCTTGATTTGGCTTGTGGCTTCATGTCAGCCACGTTTCTTTTGGGAAGTTTTCCCATGGGATCGCTGTCTTGGATCACCGTATGGAGTTTTCTTGGTCCTCTTGCATGCGCCAGCTCTGGGCCTGCAAGGCGAAGAACCTACAACCCTTTCAAACCATCTTTTGTTGGAAAGGCAGCATGACGAAGCCAACCGTGGACGACGACGAAGGGGATAGAAAATCATGGTTAGTACACCTATCTTTACGTTCGCAGCTGTTCATAGCAGCTGCCTATAGCAGTTCTAATGAATACCTCTATCAATCACTGACTGAAAAAAAAGAGCTGGTAGAAGACGACGAGGACCACGCAATGCAAAGCAAGGGGGTAGTAGGACTATGCCACAATCACTGACTGAGTAGTAGTGGTAGACAATGACGATGCACTCACATGCAACGATTGCACGCAGCAGCCGCAGCCAGAGGCAGCGCCAAGGTGATGGAGGATTTAGTCATCCTCATATCGCTGCTGCAATACATCAGCACGTGTTGCAGCCGCGAACCTGAGCAACCTGAAATCATGATCTGATCTGACTGACTTGGCTTTGCAGGGCCGAAAGATATAGTCATTCCCAGTAAGGTCCCCACATGATGGTTCAGGCTACGCTGCAAACAAGTAAATCACAAAATATGAACCTTCATCCATCAAAATGTCCAAACATTGACCCAAAACCAACAATTCAACAAGGCTTAGCTTGCAAGTTGGTGATATACCTCCCAGCCGTCGCAAGCCCGCTGCCAGTCGCGTTTTTTTGGGGGGTACTCAATCGTCATCGTCTGGTTGATGGATGCACCTTCCACCTCCAGCCGGGCACAACCAGACCAAGACAAATCAGCGGTGTATCGCAATCGAACCAAGCAATAGAAACTGGATGGAAACCCCCATTGTTTGGTTTCTATTGGTATAACTGGTTGGTATAACTGGTTGGTATAACTGGTTGGTATAACTGGTTGGTATAACTGGATGGAAACCCCCATTGTTAATAAGGTAATTTCCCATGCCCAGATATACCAACCATCATTCTCACTGATGTTTGGCCGCCTCGAGCCCGAAGATGGTCGTTTTGTGTGTCACCGTCGCCTTGACATGTGCACCTGCAGGCTGCAGTGGCTGCAGCCGTCATGCTGCCATGGTAGGAACTTGATGGGAATGTCATGGATATTTTAAGGGAAGTTACCCTCTGGTTATGTCAAAATAGCTATTGAACATGGGCATTTATAGTGGTTTTACCCATGAATAGCATGGTGATTTTCCATAGTTATGTTAGTTTACCAGAGGGTAATGAGAAATCAATAGGAAATTAAACAAAAATCCATGGGATTTAACCATCAAATGGTTTTTTTTATGGAGTATAGTGGGAGATTCTACTACGTATATGATTATCAGGGCTCCTTCCCAACACCCCAGTTACAAAGGGTGGAAAAGTGTGGAAACTGGGTAAATTGATGGATGTAAAATGACCTTTGCCCCCTGTTTGGGTGGCCATGATTCACCTCTTCCGTCTCAAAAAAGCTCTGGGGATGGGATCTGCTGCACCAGCTTCCGGTTTTCAGATGGTGGTGAAGCACTGTCTAAGCCCCTGAGGTAGCCAGAAAATTCTGATGGGAAATCTTCGGAATCCTCCCCCAGATTTTGAGATATCCTTTACTCAGCGGTGATGTCACCATAGGTGAAACACCCATTGTCTAAGCCCCGGACCATGCATGGGGCCACGCCTCGGAATCCCGGGAATCTCGTGGATTGGCCGAGAAAATCCTCAATTCACATGGGTGAAGGTATCCCCAAACTACTCCACCATCATTTACCCTCTGGTAATGACTAACAGTTTGCTATTGAAAATGGCCCCAATCGAAATAGTTGATTTACCTAGCTATAAAATAGTGATTTTCAACAGCTATGTTAGTTTACCAGAGGGTACCAATGATAATTCCCATATCTTCGAGACTCCCATAAATCCCCATCAAATAAATCCCAAGAAATTGTTTATAAATTCATATCCGCCATAAAAATATCCAACCATCATCCATCTATGGTTAAAACACTCCATCATCTCCAGGGGATTTCTAGGGCATTTCTAGGGGATTTGGGACTTGAACCCCATCCCGAGCTCCAGGCAGCAACTCACCAGCAGCCACCCAGCGCTGCACATGGCCGCATAGGTCAGGGCACTGCAGGGCCGGGGGTTTGGAGAATCTGCGCGACACCAGATGTTTTCTTCCTAGAAATGGTGATTTTCCAGTTTCGATGTTCCCTGAAACTGATTCTGGGATTGAAACACCAAAAAAATCCAAGAAATCGGCAGGGGAAGTGCTTCAAAAATCCAACAAACACCGGTCAAAGCTTGTCAAAAATCTGGTGACCATCACAATCAGCATCCTTGTTGCCGTAGATGTCATCATCCACTCTGACAATTATAAAATGTAATAGTAATAAATGATGATGATGATGATGATGATGATGATGATAATGCTAGTAATAATAATCGTATAGTTATATAATGACATTTAACGACATCATAGATGTGTTCATTACTTCATCAATTAATAGTTAAACATAAATGTAATCAATCCTTCATCATATATATATAATATTATATAATTATATATATATACTCCAGATATTACTCCAGATATCAACATCAAATGATCCATTCCTTGTCTCCTCACCATGTCAATGCCCCTAACTCACAACTTGGACACGTGATACAGTTCAAATGGTTTCTCACTGATATCAACTCCTCATATCATCAAATCCGCTGCATACCCTCTGGTTAAAAAAAAACGTAGCTATGGAAATGATTTATGATGATTTACCTAGAAAAAAAATGGTGGATCTTCCCAGTTCGCTACGTTAAAAAAAAGCCTTACCGGGTCATATTCAAATCGCTAAGATGTTAGTCCCATCCCTTCAAAAAATCCCCAGTACAACGATGAATTCCATGGTTTACCCCACCCGGCCTGGTAAACGGGCTAACAAAAAACCATGGAAAGATCCACCATGTTATATATAGCTGGGTAAATCCACTAGAAATCGACTGGGCCATGGCTTCTATGTCGCAAACTGTGAATGTTGACCAGGAAACGGGTACCTAACCTGGCCAGCAGGTGCTGCATGTACATCTCTGGATCCTTCATCCTGCGCGAAACCGCGAAAAATGGGGCCCCTCGGGGCCCCTTCGAAATCACAACCAACTTCTGTGGGGCACAGGATTCAACCTGCAAACTTCTGCGGACAAAATGTCGCATTTTAGACATTTGAGACATCGACTTGTTGTTTCCCAAAAAAAGTCCATACTTGTCCCAAGCAGAATCTACAGCAGGTCGCATTGTTTGGTCATTTGAAGTGGTCGTTTTATCCAGAAAAATTGCACACGAGCTGGGACCGGCGCAATGACGATTCGTCGAAACATGCAGGAGGTTTGCGGTTCTTGCCGAAAAAATTGTTGCGAAACAGGGGGTATAGTGAATGGGCTACTCAAATACATATTGACAAAGACTGACGTTTGCCTGTCCTCCAAACTACCAACAAGGTCACTATCTCTCCATCTTTATTGGCAGCACCCATTGTTCTCCGTTTGCAAATGTTCAGCCAATCTAGAAAAAAATCTTACATATGACATATTCTATCATATTCTTACAGTTGAATTTGAGTTTCTCCTCTTGAAAAAGGCACCTTTTTCCCCAAAGAAATCACCCCATTGCAGTTTCCACCGATTCGGATCGTCGACGGATCCGTCGACACCCACCCAGTCCAGGCGAGCAAAAGGATCTCGTGCTTCGTGAGAATCTGCAAGTCGTGCACCGATTGCGCCATGCCTAAAGTAAAACCCAATGCCATTGTCGACCATCCCGCTAGGACCATCCCAAAAATGCCAACAGTAGAGAAAGTCACGGATTTTGTTCGATCCAAGTGAAAACTGGGCTAGTTCTGAATGGTGATTTGTTTCGACAGATGTGAAAGGAATGATTCAAAGAATGGCTTCAGCATTTGGGCTCTTTGCAGATGGATTTGGTGAGGGAAAATAGTTTCGACGGAGGCTATATGCGCAGATGGATTTAAAGTAAACATTAATCAAACAGTCGTGCTTGACATAATTCGTGGAATGGATTTAGAAGGAAAATTACTAAATCAAATAGTGCTGGTGCAACTGTGGTGCCTCTTTTGCCCAAGGGTTTCCGTACCGCAATGCAGGGATGATACTTGCAAAGCGTTACCTCTAAAGTCTAACGACTCGAATGTTAGCTTTCATAGTCTGGTAACCCCTGCAAAGACTTAATGAATTATCACTATTTTAGCAAAATTTGATCTATCGTTTTGGGGTTTACGTGGTGATCATCCACCACTGATTGTGGCCTGTTTCCTGGATGATGATTGGGGATCGTTAACTCCAACTTGCAGAATCTCCAAGGTCAAGAAATTGACGCTTTCCCGAAGATGAAGACTAACTACCCTCTGGTAATTTAACATAACAGTTTGCGACATAGAAAATGGCTATAGAAATAGTTGATATACACATTAATAGCATGCTGATTTTCCATAGTTATGTAAACGTTTACCAGGCCGGGTAATTCACATAGGGCTTTGTCTAAACATGGATATACCCTCTAAATGACCATTTAAATGGAGGTAAAAAAAAAAAAAAGAATCCATGGGTTTATCTACCGGGTGGTTTCCCCGGAAAAATTCTCAGACAGACCCATGTATAAAAAAACATATTAATTATGGGTAGATAGTACATAAATATTACATCATTTACATGTTGTAAGATATTCTTGCTTACATCCCCATATCAATGGATTGGTTTAAGGGAAAATTTACAGGAAACCATAGATTTTCCCATGAAGATCATGGGGCTTAAACCAGTAAATTTTCCCTTAAACCAATCCATTGACCATACTATCCCATCCCATGCTATTACCATATACCACGCATGGTGACTTTTTTCCGAAGGTTCCCCTCCGAAGATCTCGGATGGTTCCCCCGGGCAAAGGGACGTGCAGCTTGGGTGAAGACGCCAGAGCCTCGTGGCTCGATGACGTCAGCAAGGCTCGGCTGTGGTTCAAACCCATGGAATCCCCTGGTTCTCACATCAAGTTATAGCTGGATATAGCTGGTATTTATCTGGGGTAAATTATCATGTTTCACTAACCTGAATTAAGGCCATCTGGGAATGATTCCTCTTATAAACCATGATTCCAGTGAGGTCGCAGTGAGGTCGTTATAATTTACCCAGATGTATGGATCATCCAAAAAAAAATGGTGCTTTCTGAGTGTCCAAATCAACTTGGACATATGATGATATCGGATTCGGAGAATACACTGCAGTCATATCCAGTCATTCTCCACTTCCTATCTTCAACATTTCTCAAAAACTCCTATGGTTTGGGATCATTTTTGCCAATGAAATGGCCGTAGAGTATCCAACCCATTTTGAAACACTAGGTAAAATCCCCAAGTTTCATGGATAATGGCTGGATATGAGTTCTTCATATAATCTCCTGGACCCATTCTTCAAGGTGCGATCCCGCAGCACCACGCCGGCGCGAATGGTGATGTCCTCCAGATCATCTGCGAATGGATTTAAGATCATGATGATCATGATGTTCTGGTATCAAATGGATGATCTTTTGTTGTCCCCAAATCATTTTGGGGTATCAAATCCTGACCATGAAAATTGGAGAAAATTGGGGGATAAAGTGGATAAAGGCTGTGATGCCCCAAAATTGCCTGGTGATTGAGAAAAAAGATGATAAACCATTGGATTTTTGTGGGGGCTCCTATTTTCAGACAAAGCCATGTAGCAAGATGCTGCGAATCTTGTACAGGGGCGAGCTCAGGGAAACTACCAAAGAGGATCCCCGAAGAGTTGACTACGACCTGGTCGTACATGGTGGATGTGTGATTTTTTTTGGGCCGTGAGTATTGAAGGGCACCCAAACATTAGAAAAACCTATCACTGGCAATCTGGTGCTTTCAAAAGAAAACTCACCAGGTACGAATTCTGAGACACCAGGTACGCTGGATCAAGAGCCTGGTACCCAAAATGCACCAGCCATGGCTGGTGCTTGCGGGTGTGAAAAATGGACCCAGCCATATGGAAACATACGTTTTTAATGGTTTTTACCCGACCCATCCAAATGAAAAAAATGTGGGACACCACAACTGCGCGTCCTGCGCGCCAAGGCAGTGGAAAGCCCCTGGTGCGGCAAGGCAGTTTGGTGGGAAACAGCTTAGTGTGGGAAGGAGGTGAGTGGGATGTTTTGGGCAATTTTGGGTAGATGTGGTTTCTAGTACCCCAAATGTGGTAGATGTTGTCACTCGTTAATTCATTTTAATTCTTGCAAAGTCAACGTTACCAGAATGCCCAAGCTGACTACTTAACCCTTTATGACTTGACCAGGATCCAACATTTCAAGCACCCTGGTTAGCTACATTCTGCCTTTTCCCAAGCACCATTGAAGCTACGCAGCTTCGGAAAAAACTGCACGAGGTTTGGTCACAAAATTGTGGTACATTCGATTCAAAAGCCATCAAAAGCCATCAAAAGCCTTGATTTTTCCAAAAAAAACGAAACCATGATTGTTAATGATTGTTAATGATTGTTAATGATTGTTAATGATTGTGCCCACATTATTGGTTAATTATCATTAAGCCATAGTATTGGTGTGCCCATGCCCAAACATTCGCCTTGCTGCGGTGAGATCCCCACACCACTCCCACCAAAGGCCACCGGCCTCGCTTGTCGCAGCAGTCGTAGCCCACGACCCAGAAGCTTACGGCACGTTGATCTTTTTGACCTCGGTGACTCGGCCAAAGTTGTGAAGAAAAAAAATCCCGTCGTGGAGATCATTGAACTATATATGAACCTGAAAAACATATTCGCAGCCCTTGAGCCTTGTCATGGGCCCAGAAATCAATGGAGTTTTACAAAAAGTGGTGACTTTTTAATTGGTGGACGTTGTGCCGAATTTTGCCCACAGAAAACTGGTGTGAACCATCAGAACTGCAGTGTCCTTCAAGGGAGCGACCCTCCAAGGGAGTCTTCACACGAATTCTAGTGGGTCCCCCCAAAAAAATGGCAGGAACACCTGTCTCTTTCAAGAAGTTCTGGGTTATAACACATATCTACAATCCAGGATACATGTGAATACATATGACATATGATTCATATGATACATACTATACCCTCTGGTAAACTAACTAACTAACTAACATGACTCTGGGATATCACCACTGTCAATAGGAAATTCAACTATAAGTGGACCGTTTTCAATAGCCAGAGATTACCAGAGGCTATACATATATAATTACAAGATCTATGTATATATCCAATATCTCTCACATCACTTCCATCTTTCTGCTGACAGCCGTGACAGCATCCAGCTGGGCTTCTCGGCTCAATACAGGTGCCACGCAATAGAGATGCTTCGCCTGGGGGAGCCCTTCATCTTGACATCATGCAATCTATATGTCCTAAAGAGAAAGCTACCAAAGTGGGGCGTTTTCGTCCATATTCTACATGTATATAATTCTACCCACAGACGCCGTGTGTTGTCCAGACATTAACATCGAGAATGTCGTGCTGTCGAATATATGATAGGAGACATTGCAGAAAATACTGCGTATACGCAGTGGTTTCCAGTTTAGGATTCAAAGTTTTCAGAGCCTAAGTTTTAGGGTTTAGGGTTTTAGGGTTTGGGGTTTTGGGGTTTGGGGTTTTAGGGTTTAGGGTTCGTCGTCTGGGAAATCTCAAAACAATGGCCCTGTGCAGGTGTTTGAGCATGCTGAAGGATAATGTTTAAACATGTTTAAACGCCATTTGAACCTTCCGGCAACACACAGCGCCTGGCCGTAATTCTACTGTATATATATAATAACAAATATACATATATATATATATACACAAGTAGTATAATAGAGGATTGGGTATCTAGACGTACATATCATATATAGCACTCCAACCCCACCGGCGTGTCTGGCGTGGCCTTCTGAAAGCCAACGCCTTTGGACACCTGGAACTCGGCAGCCGAGCCCGCTGGAAAATCACCGTGGCCCAAATGGAGGAATTGAAATATCCATGTTTTACCGTAGGGTAAACCATGGCAAACCGCAAACCCAAGCCTAAGTCATGGCAAACGGGTGCTTATGGGAGATGGGATGAAATTAAAACAACCAAGCAGTGGCGGTCTGCATTGCATGAAGTTTGGGGAGACATACGCTTAGACACAAAGGCACTTTCGAAGGTGAGACACTGACAAAAGTGGAACAAACAAATATGTGTATATATATATATGTATTTTATATATAATATAATATGATATAATATAATATAATACAATATAATATAATATAATATAATATAGTATAATATAATATAATATAATATAGTATAATATGATATAATATACTATAATGTAATGTAATATAATATAATATAATATAATATAATATAATATAATATATATATATATGAAACAGATCTATCCTGGAAATGGAATATGAATTTCATGGTACCATCAAGTACCATCCTAGGATCCCCTAGGAATGTCATATGTTGTCACCCAGCCCACAGCCCCGGCATTCACGTAGTCATCGTGCTCGAAGTGAAGCATTGTGGCGTCCAGGACCGAAGTACCTCGTGTTTCACACGAGCGAAAAAAGCGCGAAGCGTCCTGGGTGTCAAAACTCTGGCTGAATCCCCTTAAATGGTGGGTTTAATGGGATTAATGGTTTTGACACCCAGAAAAATCTCCATTAAACCTTAACTCCAGCCTCTGGTACCCTCTGGTTTTAATGGGATAAATGGTGGGTTTAAATGGGATTTCACCAAGAAAAATGGGTGGGTCTTCATGGGATATACCCAGTTCGCCATTGAAAATCCATCCCCAAGGAGTCGCGATAACGGGGCCTGGTGTTGAAGCAGCCAGGCGATAAGTGGCACCTCCCCTGGCATGCAAACAGAGCTGCCGGGTGTGGGCAAAAAACCACGGAAACGTGCTGGAAAATGGCTGGAAAATGCTGATTTACCCCCCAAAGTTTTTAACAGAGCTATGGGCTTTATGGCCCTGAAAATGGTGGATGATTCATCTACGAAACATGTTTGAAAATGGTGATGTTCCATGATTTCCCATGGCTCTCTGAAATTGCCGCAGGGTATAAACAATCAAAGTCAAAAGGGATATTTTTGATGATTCCATCGCTATTCCACCAAATGGGAGTTTACAAGCATCGGGGTGCAAAACTGGGTTCTTTGTCTCACATGCTTAATGTACAGCATCCGGTCCATGTAAGGTTTACCCACAAGACGACACCTGTTCATGTAGGTAAATATAACATCACAAAAAAATCACCATCCATGACAATTGTTTGAGGTTCTAAACAGCACTACCATATGTGAGGGCACTGAGGCAAGTAGCTGATAATTGATCATATCCACCAATTGGCCAGTTGATTGCTAAGACCCACAGCCAAGGGGTGACGCTTTTGACATCTTTTGACTAGAGCAAATGCATGATGATTGAGTGGTCAAACAAGCACTTCATTGTAACTAACTCTCAATTGGGCTCTTCCGCGGATGAACTTAGATTGTGAATGATTGTCATATGTTATGATCGTCATGATCTTGGTATTGTTATGTCATGATATATCATGATTATCACCCCCACTATACATATATATATAGTTCTTCTTATTCTTACTTTCTTATTGCTTCTCTTCTTCGCAGTATGCTTTTCACATCCCCAACGAGTAATGCGATTCCTGGCTCCTCTGAGATCAGTCATGGCTGCGATAAATTCTGCCCTCAGCCGCGCTTCAGACGAAAGAACTCGTCAGTGAAGGATTCCCTCGGTGCCGTAACATGGAGGATCTAGAGCCACCAATAAACTGGGGATTTTACCCTCTGGTAATGACTAACATAGCGAACTGGAAAATCACCATTTTTAATGGGAAAATCCACTATAAATGGCCATTTTCCATAGCTATGTTAAATTACCAGAGGGTAGTGGAGAAGATTAGCGACAGATTGTGACACCAGATTGGTTTGTCAGGTGAATCTTCCTGGGAAAGCAGCTTTTTTGTGCCAAACACTGGGCCAAACACTTTCCTTTGATCTCTTCGAATGTCTGCAAGAATAGCTGTGGCTCAAAAATATGGTGCCATACAAAAAAAAAAAAACATGGCAGGTCATCATTGAAAAAAATTAGACATCCAGCAGGGATCAATATGGCTTAATAACCGGGGGCAGATGGACTATGATGGACGACTGCTGATTCGAGGACTTGGGAGTGATACGATGAAGTCCGCGAATCCAAGGTGACAATTTGAGCGAATCCAAGCAGTGGCTGATATTGAAAAAAAGTCCACCTGTTGTCAGCAATAAATCATCAATAAATCATCAATATTCATCAATATCATTCAATATCATTCAATATCATCAATAGATATTCACCAATGGTCAGCAATAAATCATCAATAGATCGTCAGCTGTTCAATGTCGAGCCAGAACGGAAACTTCGGTCAGCAAAGTTCCACGGTGCCGGTGCCCCCAGAAAGGCGAGGAGCGCCACGGACTCGCCAAAGGGCACGGCCAACAGCAGGGCCTTGACCGTGGGTCGTGTGGTATGCGGTTGACGTCGTGTCTTGGTTGGTGTTTTTTCATTGGGATTTCATGGGATTACCCTCTGGTAATGACTAACATAGCGAACTGGAAAATCCACCCATGTTTGATGGGAAAATCCACTATTAATGGTCATTTTCAATAGCTACGTTAAATTACCAGAGGGTAATGGAATTAGCTCCTCTCCGGTTAATATAATTGGATTGATTGGGATATATCTGGTTGGTGGTTTCAACCTGTCTGAAAAATATTAGTCAGTTGGGATGATTATTCCCAATATATGGAAAAATAAAAAATGTTCCAAACCACCAACCAGATATGATGTTTTTTCTCATAGGAATTCATGGGTCTGGCTATCCTCTCCAATGTCAGCCTCCATGGTTTTTTGAAAAAAGTTCCTAGCTGGGATCATTTTTATCTGGATCCTGGGATTAACTGGGATATGGTAAAACCCCCAATCGATGGGATATGGTGTTCCCCTATTTTTATTGGATATGTGTCCATCATTTTTTTGCATTTGGATGGATTTGGTTGGTGGTTTTACATATTTGTTTACGTAGATCCATCCAAATGATTCAGACCAAACAAGCCATCTTCGGTATACCTCGGAGATTTCCACCCTATAGCGGTGGGGTAGTGATATGTAGTGAATAAGAAGTCAGGCTTCCCTACGATCGGAAAACCCGGGGTGCACCAACAGAAAGACCTTCAACATCACGTACCCTTTCATGACCAACATCATTTCCAGGTTCCGAAAAGCACAAAAATGACACAGCTCAAGGTGAAATCGAAGTTCCAACCAGAAAAAAAACAAAACTTCTTCTACCCTCTGGTAAACGTTTACATAACTATGGAAAGATCCACCATGCTATTCATGGGTAAATCCACTATTTCTATGGCCATTTTCAATAGCTTTTTGTATGTTTACCAGGCCGGGTCATGTCCCTTATCAGTTGCTCCAAGGTGCAGCCAGAAGAAAGTAGCCTAGCAGCCTTTGGGCCTGGCAATCTTAGCCGGAGGGGGAGGACTGGGAAGACGAAGAAAAAAAAACAGAAATTTGGGGGGAGCCAAGTTTTGGTAACATGACTTAACCAATGACCTTTGGGTAACCTATTCTTCGGTGATGGTTTAATGGTTCACCAGTTGTCAGTACCAAGGATCCATTCCCATGGCTACTAACCTTAGGGAGTCTCGCCAACGCTAGGGTTCTGCTGATCTGTCAACCTCGGGATTCTATCTCGTCTCAGCAGAATGGGATATGTTTGATATGAGAGCTCCACAATTTCCATGCACTGGGTTTCACAACTGACTGTCAGCAAGCTGGGTGAAATTCCTAGGCTTGTATGTGTATATATGTGTATATATATACTGTATATATATATTTACTGTTTATATATATATACTGTATAAATATATATATATACTGTTTATAATTTATACTGTATATACATATTCTCACATTGCAAAATTGGTCCCAATCACCCCAACCCATAAATGGTTGTGTCAGCCATTGACGAATACATTCTGTTAGAAAACACCATCCATTGTTGGGTAGTTGCATAACAAATATGACTTGACCCATTCCCCTCTCATTTCGTCGATGCTAAGGCTATGTATATATATAGGAATAGGTCAAAACCCAGTACCCTGTAGTTCACACCAAAGTAGCTAGTAAATGGATGTTCATCCCAAAAATAAGGTAGTTATAGGTATCGAACCGGAGACATGGAATAGGAACCCATAGTATAGATTGTATTTATCTCATATGTTCAGGTGTCCAACTGTTCTATTTTCGGGGCTACTATCTTGGAGTAGTTAGAATATTAAAAAAAACAAGCCAAATCTGCCCTAAAATGGGAATATCTTTGATTTTTTTCTATATTCTATCTACTCCAGGATGATTACACATATATAATCATATATAATCATATATATATATGCTCTGTTTTGGCTGGATCCCAATCAAACATGCCAAATCCCCATGACCTGCAGCGAAGATAGGCCCGACCTGCATCCTGCGCGCCCACGCCATGGAGAGTACGAAGACACCTAGCCTCGGCATGCTATCGGTCACGAAGGATCGGAAAATGCTGGTGGCAACTAGTGGCAGAATCCATCACTGGAGAGTAGGAAGATGAAATTCATTCATTTCATGTTCAGGATGTGAAGGGGTGCCAATGGTTGGTCCCATTTGAAAGAATCCATGAGTTTATGAAAATCTTCATCAACCCCCCCTAAAAATGCTGGTGGCAAACCCCATGAAACACATGTTTGAATATGTTTTGGGGGGTAATTTTTCATAGTACTGTTTGATAAGAAGAGTTTCAGGGCGATTTTCCAATCCAAACCATGGCGTGGCGCCAATGCAATGCCAAGCACACTCAAAACTTCGAGCTTCGCTATCACCAAACAGCACTTCTTATCCAAAACTAGATATGGCAGTGTGTCAAAACCTTGTACCCCTGTAGTTCACATCAAAATAGCTGGGATTTATGGATGTTCATCCCCCTAAAAATGGTATTTTTTGGGGTATTGATCCATAGCCAGATATCTGTTCGCCCTTGTGTTTATGCCACCTATTGTCCCATAGGATCCATGTATGCTATATATTATATGGTAACATTTACCATCAATATACCCCCAATGTTAGCATATATACCATGCATGGATCCTATGGGTGTTGGTGACTGATCTTTGGAAATGTGTCCAACCACCCGGTGCTTTCGACTGGATTGGTCTCCGGGCAAAAGGGCGCTGCACCAGACGGCCCATACCACTGGGCCAATCTCCTGCTGAGTCAATGGTGATATATATATATATATTAATATCTAATATGTAAACATAAATAGTAACATATCCCAGTTATGGCCTTATGGCTGTAAAGAACTTTAGAACAAAAATGGGGATTCAACCAAAATTCTCCAACCAGACCTCTAAGAACAAAGGAATTTACAGGGTAACCTCTATAAATGATGGACAAGACCTCTGGGATTCTGACCCAATGTGGGTCATTTTTTCGTGGCGAATCGTTGGGGGATGCGTGGCGGGCTCCATCGTTGGATCCATCGGGGTTTTTTTGCTGACCTCCATTCGGCATGGTTAATCTCAGCCCGGATTTGGGGTGATATAATGTCATACGATATATGTATATGTATATATATATGACATTATATTACCATTATATATATATATATATATATATATATATATATACAGTATATATATATTTGTACATATTCATATATCATATGCCTCCATGAGAAGTTTGGTAAAGTTGACCAATTCACCTTCTCTCGACCAGGAAAAAAAAACAGTTGTACCCCGCCCAGCTGCCAACAAGCCAACTCACCTGCGCTAAGGCAAACAGCGAGACGGTCAAGGAAAACCTTAGAGGAAAAAATCAACCTGTCATGGGGTGAGGAAAATGTGTAAACTCATCTCTGAATGGTTCTTGGTTCCCTGATTCGGCCGGGGGTCTGCCAAACAAATAACAACATCTCAAGTTTTTTGTGTTGAACAAATGTGTGTGTGTGTTAAAGTGTATATATAAAGCGTACATGAAAAATTGATACAAATCGGTTTAAGAAGAAAAACGTCGAATCTTACCCCGAGTGTGTCGATGTCATACAATGATGGGTTTCTTGCGGTGGGGATACATGTGAGTTATCACCTGCCAATGAGTGTTTCACTCTGACAATGTCAGGTGATGCGCAAAACAATTCTCCCTTTGACCATTTTTCATCTCACCATGTTTGGTCACTAGCCACCCCTTCGAGGGAACATCTCAGCCTTCAGGGTGTTGCCCCACCGTAAGTTGCTTGCTCGCAGGATATATCTACCATAAACCCAAGAGTTATTGGAGTTATAAAGCAGTTTGGCTAACAAAGGTCATGATAAACTATAGCAATCCCAAAAAAAAAGATGCTGAAAAGTGGAAAACCTGGAAAATGTGGGGAGGAAAACATCATCGCAAATCCTGCTTTCACACTGTTTCAGCATCTTTTTGGGGGTTGCAAAAAATAACTCTAGACAAATTTGTCGGTGAACCACCTATGTTTATAGGACTTTATAGGCTTCATAGGCTACCATCTGGTTATTTAACATCGCCATGGAAAGATCCACCCATTTTTAAGTTCGGTAAACCATCTATTTCTATGGGCCATCTATACCATGGCTATGTTAGTCATAACCAGATGGTAAATCTACACCTTCCCCACCAAAAAGGGTGAAATCCCCACGTGATCTGCCAGGCAACGTGACCCAAGAGACGGCCGTCAGCGCCAGAGGGGTCCAGCTGTCCCAGCTGTCCAGCTTCCGGGCCTGTCTCAGGAGTAACTGAGTAGGGCTGGCAACCAGATCATAGTTATCTACAGTATGATATACCCTCTGGGGATTTTATGGGATTTTATGGTGGTTTAATGGGATCTAATGGGATTTAACAGGATATACCCTCTGGTTATTTGACATAACTATGGAAAGATCCACCATGCTATTAATGGGTAAATCAACTATTTCGACTGGGCCATTTTCAATAGCTATGTTAAATTACCAGAGGGTAGTTAGAGTAGATATCATATAGATAGTTGGATTGTCTAACTTGTTGCAACTATCTATAGTCATCAAGTTGGATAATCCCATTGATATGGGATAGTTACAGTAGAGAGTTGCTAAACCATATCTGACTAATCATAAATTCGAAATCAAGTGATGGTGATCAAGTTCATAATAGATAATGGCTACCTATCTAGTATTTACTAATCACGTTAGGTTCGCTCAGCCATTTCGTTTGATAGAATGGTAGTAATGTTAGTATATGTTACTAATGTTAGGTAGTTAATGACTACTCAGTTACGAATGTTAAATGGTTAGATCAACCCATTTGTATATGGGATAGTTATAGACAGTTACTAAAGCATATCTGACTAATCAGTGACTCATGTTAGATAGTTAGATCATCCCATTTAGGAATCGTATATACCATTTAGTAACTGGTTATACACCATCCCATATCATATATGGGATAGTTACACAGTTGGAGGACTTACGATCATAGTTGGGTGGTGCACTGACTGTCGAAGGCTGTGTATATTAGTTTTAAAAAGCTATATATATATACACATGTTGATTGATATGTGATCTGTGTGATGTGCGATATATCATATATGATATTCACGAGTGATGTGCAATATATATATATTATATCATGATACATGATATATGATGGATATGGGCCATAGCCGACGGCATGGTGAGGTCATGGAAGGGCTCCCAAGCAACACATGGGTAAAAATGAAACATACACAGGGCTCTACCGCTGAAAACTGGTATTTGGTAGAATGCAATTTTTCGAACACACTGGTATCTGAACCAACAAGACATGGCAATGGTTATTCAATCAGAATAGGAATATCAGCAGAAAATGGTCCTAAAATGAGCCGTTGATCCTAACGGTTCCTCCGGAAATTTGGGGCAGCCAGACCTTTGGATATGCGTCCATTGCTAAGACAGGCCATGGCCAAAGTTTGCAGAAGATTACAGTTTCTCAGCCACACAACCGGTAGTGAGTGGTCTCCAAAAATAATACAGTTTAAATATGTTTAAATGAAGAAGAGTCTGTTGTGAATCTAAATTGGGCATTCCAAAAGTTGAATGCTTCGGATTAAAATCTGATGGAAAAGACATGCCAAGATTCTCTGGGTGTGTTCCAATGTGGTTTTAGAACTGTGGTTTCAGCTCTGAGCATCGAAATCTTTGGACAACTCAGATGTGATTTTCTGTCGTAGCAGCTGTGATGGGACATCACCAAGAATTCTGGCAACTCACAACCCCCCAATGGAAGGAAACAAACTACAAGCACGTTGATGAGATAGCCATTGCTGCAACAGCTGAGACACGCAACGTCCTCGAATTCTTAGTTGTATTGGATTCTTTACCATGCCATGTTTGGGTATGTGGAGTGCGTGTTGCTTGTTGGGACTGCTCAAGAGCCTCGGCGGCGTTGTGTGATCCTCACCGCCACCACCCACAACCACCATCATCGTCATCATCGTCGTCTTGGTCGTCGTCCTCCTCCTCCTCCTCATCATCATCATCATCATTATCATCATCATCAAACAAGTTGGGAAGCCGGACTTCCCCTTGCTTCAGTACGATCGCACTTTGATCCCAGCGTCACGCCCCCACAGTTGGACATTTACCTAAAGCATTCCGTGCGTCTGTAAAAATATTTATATCATACACATGTGCATAATTGCGCATATGTATGTTTTGTTGTCATTTTGCTTTACGCATATCCGGCACATCTACTATAGTCACACCGCTATTCTATAAAAGCGTCCTCATAATTCATCATACATCTAGATCTACGGCCAAAATATCCAGCAATCATGGAGAGAAAAAATTAAAGATTACCATTCAAAATAAAACATAACTTAGGACTTAGGGGGTCGATTTTCCCCCATGTTTTGGACCCCAGTTGTCTTCCCCAGTTCGCACTTTTTGATCCGGCGGCTCAGCTTCAAGGACCCTGGCCTTGGCGCGAGAATGACCTACCAAACATGGAGAATTCAGCGACAAAAAAGGCTTGGATTTAAACCAACAGACTTGGTAGATATAACTATAGTATACTATAGTATTCATGGGGATTATAATGGTTTATAAACCAACTTATAACTGGGGGGGCCCATTAAACCAACAGACTTGGGTTTTTTGCCTAAATGGCCGAAAAAAGACGAGTTAGCCAACAAAAATTGGGATCACACAGCCATGCTGCTGCATGGTGATTAGGCACACCAAAAATGGAATCATGATCGCCAACTCTATCAGATACTCTATCAAACATTGCCAAATCTGCTATATACGAGAAACCCAACAAGATAAATCATTAGAAACCTACATTCAAAGCCATTTAAAACCGTTTAGACCAAGAACTCAAACAGAAATACAGATGAATCCAATCATGTTTTCCATTCAAAAACCATGAACAAACCATTAAAATTCCTTTTAAATCTACAAATAAATCGAAGCCCATGAGCCAACCGCCACCAAGGAGCGCTCGAGGGGCTGCCTCAAGCGCCGGCACCAGCGATGCCTGCGGCTGATCAAGAGATATGTTACCATATTCATATATTTAGTTGCAACTACATGTTTGATCAAATGTACTTATAGCTTCTCAAATACTAAGAGTAATATTGCTATACATATATATATGTATATATACATATATACACCACAGAAATGCTATACACTATACATAATATATATATATATACATGTACAATATATATATATGTATATTATTGTTATGTTTCTTCTATACTTCAGGTATTCATCCTTCGAAAAAAAAAGAAGAAACGCCACCTGCAGCCAGGGATGGCTGGTGTCGTCCAGGAGCCGGAGGACCTCCTGAAACGCTTCACGGGATTTGAACGGGTTGAAGATCAGGAAACAGTAGGGAAAACTATGGAGGAAACTATGGAGGAAACACTAGGGGATTTGAATTTCGAAGATCTAAGTATAATCTATTGTACATATCTATCCCAAAAATAATTCTATGGAGATCCCATAAAATTTACCGCATAGGATACTCCAAATCCCTTGGAAAAAATCAGCAGCTTCATCAGCATTATCCCTATGAAAATAGTTGTCAAGATATGTCTATTTGAGGTGTTTTTTAATATAGTTATTATAGATGTGTATATTATATATATGTAGATATATCAAAATATATCAAAATGGTGTATACCGTATACCCCATTTTCAGGCCCACCCATCTGAGTTTCGTAGAGCGCGAAAATTCCAAGTAACGACTGCAGTCGTCTTCATCGTTTGTTTCGTAGAGGAGGGAAGAATTGAAAAAAGTTGATCGACTGCCCAAAATCTCGTACGGCAGAGGGAAAAAATACTTTCTATTGTCTGAGTCTCTATATGGTGATTTCCTGAAATAGGGGTACCCCCAAATCATCAATTTTAATGGGATTGTCCATTATAAACCAACAATTTTGGATGTTGCTGAAGATCAACCCCCAACTTTCCAAAAATCACCTATCCAAGAGGATGCATGGGACGGGAAAGTCTCACAACCAACTCCTATTCACAGCCAAAAAAACACCTTTTTTCATATCCAAAATGCTGATGGAATCCCAACGTGTGCTAGCTAAATCATATTAAATCACTTCAAGCCCGAATTTCACATGGTGAAATCCGCACCGTTGTCAGGTCCCGAACAACGACCGTTACCCGGCCTGGTCAACATTAACCAAAAACGACGGAAAATCCACCCATGTTCAATGGGTATATCCATGAATATCCCAATATTCTCCCATCATTATCCCATGATCATCCCTAGAAAACCATATTAAACCATATTAAACCACGGAAAACCCACCATTTTTGATGGGGAAATCCCTTGTTTTCCTGGAGATCCCTTAAATGCACCTGCCAGGTGATGCCATGGTACAACGAGCTGACCAAGTCTGAAGGATCGGGGGTGAGACCTGGCACATCTGGCACTGGAGATCCAAATCTGAGGGATGGGGGATTGTCATTCATATACTCTATTGATATAGTGATTGATATAGTCATTGCGTTCTCAAATATTTATACGTATGTATATATATATATATATTGATATTGATATTGATATTGATATAGTGAGTGATTAATAGTGGTGTATATCATATATATATAGGTAAATGATAATACTTCAAAAAACGTCACTAACCTGAAGTTTCACCTTTTTTTTGGGTGAGTTGCCCTTATATGCCATTGTTCCAGTGAGGTTGCAGTGATAGATTCAATTGATATAAAATTGATATATAGTGATTCATACATAGTGATTCAAATATATAGTGATTCATATACAGTGATTGGTATAGTGATGGTGAATATAACTCGGGTGTATGGTGACTGTAAGTACACTTCGATGGGGTTATCAACCAACCTATCGCCAGACTGCCTAAAACTAGTCACGTATCCTTTTCCCCAAAGCAACAGTTTACCCATGGAATAGCCAATGTTCACTGGAAACTCATCTTCCAACCCCAACTGAAGGCAGGGTCTATGTCAGTTGGTGTGGTAAACGGGATGTAAATACGGATCTAACAATCAATATATATATATATAATCAATCAATGGTGATACATTCTACATCATCTCAATCAAACGATCGTTATAACATTTGGACATCTGTCGATTGATGTGAACCTACGAGGTGGTGTGTGTCGCACTTCAGCACTACACAATCATTTACTTTGGGGGCATATTGTAATTCATGGGCTCCAAAAAAGAATGGGAAACAGATGGCATTTCGGCATTTCTTTCTGTCCTGCTTTCATGGTGCATGACATAGCTGAATTCCAAGTGCCCCAGGAAATCCATGGCTTTCGTAGGGGGTAACAACACAGAAATTTGTTTGGGAACATAGAACCCATGGGGCCGTTGAATTTTTGGATAGGATTTTTTATACCATCAATTCACCATCAATTCACCATCAAAATGCCATAAGTTGCTTCTAAGACCAATACCCGACCTTTTTTCCCTCCTTTGTGTTATCAAACATGGCTGACCAATGCCATACACCTCCGGGGGATTTCCCAGTTTCATCGACCGCGCCTCGCGCGAGGGCCTTGGGCAAAAGGCTCCAAGCAAGTTGCGGTCGCCTCACGGATGGCTGTAGTTTGCGAAAAAATCCTCTATCTAGCTATCTATCTATCTATCTAGCTATCTAGCTATCTATCTATCTACCTATCGATCTATCTAGCTATCTATCTATCTATCTAGCTATCTATCTATCTATCTACCTATCTATCTATCTAGCTATCTAGCTATCTAGCTATCTATCTATCTACCTATCTATCTAGCTATCTATCTATCTACCTATCTATCCATCTAGCTATCTATCTATCTATCTAGCTATCTATCTATCTATCTATCTATCTATCTATCTACCTATCTATCTATCTAGCTATCTAGCTATCTAGCTATCTATCTATCTACCTATCTGTCTAGCTATCTATCTATCTACCTATCTATCCATCTAGCTATCTATATGTCTATCTATCTATCTAGCTATCTAGCTATCTATCTATCTACCTATCTATCTATCTAGCTATCTATCTATCTATCTAGCTATCTATCTATCTATCTATCTATCTACCTATCTATCTATCTAGCTATCTAGCTATCTAGCTATCTATCTATCTACCTATCTATCTAGCTATCTATCTATCTACCTATCTATCCATCTAGCTATCTATCTATCTATCTATCTAGCTATCTAGCTATCTATCTATCTATCTACCTATCTATCTATCTAGCTATCTAGCTATCTATCTATCTACCTATCTATCCATCTAGCTATCTAGCTATCTATCTATCTATCTATCTAGCTATCTAGCTATCTATCTATCTACCTATCTATCTATCTAGCTATCTAGCTATCTAGCTAGCTATCTATCTACCTACCTATCTATCTATCTACCTACCTATCTATCTATCTATCTATCTATGTATCTATCTATCTAATATACATATAGCAATCCCCAAACAGATATGATATTAAAATATATTAATCGTTCGAAATAAACATTCAATCAGCTACAAGTCTGTTTGAATTTGCTAGGGTGCAAAACTATGCTTAATTCCCAAGTAGATAGAAAGGTCCAAAACCTATACTACAAGTAAGGATTATAAGGTAACTATCATCTATGGCATCAATAACTTTTCGGCACCTTTTTGGGAATCCCAGAAATTTCAGAGCAACTCCCGAAAAGATGCAGAAAGGTTCAATTGATCATTTAGTTGGCTCAATTACAGTTCTAGTTTTTGATGTGCAGGAATGTGTATAGCCAAGCAATCTGTTTCACAAAATACTGACACATGTGACACATACCAAGATCTTTGGGTCGCTTCTTCACTCAAAAATGGGATGCAGCATGCAGGTGAATCTTGAGATCATATGAAACCTGGCGAATGTGGTAACCCCGACAATAAAACATCCCCAAGTCATCAGCATGTTTGTGGGTATGAACCATCCCCAAATGGTAGGCTTATTATTGGCTTTACCACATTTTGATCAGTTGGAGATGATCATAACCCTACCTTTATGATATTTATTGCAGTATTATTGTGGTATTTACCAAATAACCCACATATTATTGGTATCTTCATCCCCTCTTTATGATATTTAGTGCAGTTTATGTCCCGTTGTCAACGTCCCATTCAGGTCCGCTACTAAGCCTCGCCTCGCTAGGAGGCAAGCATTCAGCACCGCCTGCACGGTAGAAGTCTGGGTTTAAGGCAGAAAATTCTTGGTGGCGAAGCAACGAAGATTCGATGAAGAAAATCATTGGAGATCAAAATGCCCCATTTCGAAATGTTGAAGCTCCTTACAAATTGGGAAACTCTTCCAACATTCAGACAAATATCGGAATCTCATGGGAAGTTTCCTTAAAAAAGTGGGCTTTATAACCAAATATCGCCAAGAAGCGATGGACTTATCATGGCTTACCACCCGTTCCCACCTCGATGGTTTCTGGCCGCGCAGCCATTCCACCTCGTTCAGCCTGGAGACGATGAGTAAACGAGCGGACCCCCCCGGTTTTCATCGATGTGGAAGGTCCCCAAAATGGGGATAAAATATTGTGTATATATCTATATATTATATACATATCATATATATATATATACATAGATGAAACACATATTGAAAACTGGTACCACATCCCCGAATCAAAAACAACCAGGGAGTTTTGTATGTTTGATCCTGGGTTAACTTTGGGACAGGATCATACTAATTGGAGGTTTCTTCTCCCACAGCTGACGCTGGAAAATGTGGCAAACGATGTGGCAAACTATGTTGCTCGATAACCATATCGATTCTCAAGTTCAAAAATAATATATGTACATATATATATATATCATATATATATATATATCATATATATATCATATATATATATCATATATCATATATATATATATATGTGTGTGTGTTCCCCATGTTTTGATGATCGACCCATCAATTAAAAGCCCCACCAAATTACCCATCTTCACCTCGCCCAGCAAATGGCATGCCAAACCTGGCTTGGATGGTTTTTTCAACAAAAACGATCTGTGAATTATTGGATAGTTGGATCATTGGATAATATTATTATGGATATATAATGGATAATATTATAATAATGGATATATAATGGATAATAATTGGATAATATTGGATAGTTAACGATAATTGGATAGTTGGATAGTTGGATAATAATAATTGGCCCAACAATGAATTATGGATATTTATGGATAATTGATAATATTCATTTCTGAATAATTGATAATAGTTGGATAATTCACTTATGGATAATATTGGATAATATTGTGGATAATAGGTGGCCCAATATAGTTGGATAATTCATCAAAAATCTTAAAATGTCTGATACTTCAAGAAAAACTCTAGCAAAAAAAAAAACATCGATAATCATGTCAATATACTCTGAAGAATTTTGGCGGGTCGGAATTTTGACGGTACCATTTTGCCGTGGAGGTTCGGTACCTTAAGCGGAGAAAAAAACCGAGGTCTCCCAATGGATTAGGCCATTGGAATAGCAAAACGGATGAGTTTTACCATGGGATTTTTAGGGGTACCCCAACTGTTCAGAAGGCGGCACCCCAAAAATGTCGCCTGGCTCAAAAGTCCCAAAAAAAATCAAGGCCTGGAGATCATCATTTTAGGCTATTGCCCAAGCAAAATTGGCCTATTACCTCGAAACTGATGGCTGTTCAGAACTTCAAGGACCTCTCATTACATTGAGGAACCCTATCTCACTCTATACACTGTATATTCTATATATAATTGTAATTAATTCAATTAATTCTATACATACACTCTTTAATAGATATGTATTCAAGTTGACAGTTCTGAGTCTCTACCCCAACCACTTTCAGTGACCTGGGGACACCTGAGATACCTGAGCCCCCCCACTCCACTGGCTCTCATGACCCATGGCAGAAATGCTGGAATGGTACCTGGCCAAGACATCCGGATCTTCATCTTCCCCCACAGTGAAACCCCTCGCTGTCTCACAGCCAAGCAAATTTTGATTATATGTAATCTCACAGCCAATCCAATATATTCATATTAAACATATATATATATATTTTATATATATATATTCCGATATTACCCTCTGGTAAATTAACATAGACCCTGGACCCTGGCAGATAGGGGTTGGAAGACTAGTTTCCATTCAAAATTGGCGATTTTCAGGGTCCAACTGTTAATTTACCAGGGGGTAGTTGGAAAAACGGCGCCCCATCGGTTGGATGTTTCCCCCTGTTCCCGTTTATGGCTCACTGCAGCATCGATGGTGCTTTGCGAAGCCTGCGCAGATCCTGGCGGCGGCGGGAACCCAACTTTGGGCGAGGAAATCGCCATCCGACCATCGCCGTTAAAGCCTTAAATAACAACGGGATTTAATGGGATTTAATGGTGGTTTTATGGGATTTAATGGGATTTAATGTTGGTTTTATGGGATTTAATGGGATTTTATGGTGGTTTAATGGGATTTAATGGGATTTTATGGTGGTTTAATGGGATTTAATGGGATTTTATGGAATTTTATGGTGGTTTAATGGGATCTAATGGGATTTAAGAGGATTTATCCTCTGGTAAACGTTTACATAGCTATGGAAAATCGCTATTGTCCAATGGGTAAATCCTCTATTTCGACTGGGCCATTTGAAAAAATGTCGCAAAGTGTTAGTCATTGCCAGAGGGTAGACAGAACTCATAACGAAAGGTTTCACAATTTATCACTTGACCATTTGAAGCAACTACCATTATGCATTTCATGATGTATCATGTAATTATCAGTTCTGCATCGTTTTACATATGGAGGTTTCCTAAGTCATGGGGGTAGAGAAAAAAATCATCCATGTCAGTGGGATTTTCCAGCCAAAATCAACCATCCATTACGGCGTTTACGGTATCCCCCATGTCTATGGAAACACTGCTGATATTTCCTATCTCGGCCCATCACCAGTCGACATCACCTATACACACTCTACACATGTCACTATACAATACCTATATATATATAATAGGACATGTCATACACATATATATCTGTTATATACACAAAACATATACATCATATACACACTATACACCCATCACCTATATCCCAAGGACCTATGGAAACCCCACGGAAAACCTCCAAAGATTGTTCTGGCAAACCGCCTGCAGGAGTTGGATACACTGCTCCCAGCAACTTGACCTGGCGAGTTGAACGGGAGACCGGAGCGGGACCACAGATGTAGCTGGTCATTGGATGGGAACCCTTGGATGGAGTCGATCTGTACCATGAACCATCCAAAAAATCATTGGGTTACTGCAGTTACCCCATGACTTGACGCATATGATTACCCATATCTGATGATTTAGTCCACAAAAATGAGGCTTTCATTATCTTTCATTGACAAATTGGGCTTCACAAACAAAAACCATAAAACCTGAGGAGTCAACCATTTAGCTGACCAAAATTTGGATGCAACCGGCCAAAGTGATGATGAAACCAGCAAAGACGGTCAATGACTGAAATTGATGGGGATTCAGCCTACAAACTGAGGATTTTAATCCACAAGCGTGGCAAACTGAGCGAACTGTGGATTTCACTGATGAGAAACCACATCAATTGTGGTAGATACCAAGTGGAAAACCTCAAAACACCAAGTTAACTGGGGCACCCCGGGAGTCCGACTGATGATTCACTTCGATTCCTACGAAACAGACTAGTTACATGATGTGATCAATGTGATCGTCAATGGGCTTTTACCTCAGCCATTTTTTTGCGCCATAGCTATGACTATGACTCAACCATTCGTCAAGCATCAAAATTGGGAGATGTACAAATCAACAAATCTTCAGACGTTCCACGTTTGGTGTTGCCTCTCGCAGGCGCGCAGCGCTTGATTGAAATGGAACGCCTCGCCGATTTTCTTCGGATTTCTGAGGGTTTTTTTCTACCCATTTTTGGGGGGTCCAAGTGCCCCATGGTTGTGTGATTTCCATCCCTGGCCACATGCTAATGCCTTTGGAATTTGGAATAGTTCTCACCATTCTTCTTTGCAGAGGTGGTCGAAGTCCCTGTTTCTATACATTTCGGCCCATGAATTCCCCCTCTTGCTGAGTGGCAGTCTTACAAAGCTGTGAGGATCACGGTTCCAGGACCCTAAACCACGGAGATTTCTGGTGGTTTTTTTCACATATTAAAAAGATAGAATATGGATTTGTCTGAGAATACGGAAACCGATTCCATCCTATGTTTTTTGTTGTTAAAGCCTCGTCTTCCCCATTAAAAGTGCCATGAGACTCCATCCTTGGACAATCCAAATCATCATGTCTTCTTGGTCATGTGCCACGAACATCTCCCCGCATCATGGTGCTTCTAAACAAATCCAGCATAAATTCTCTGGGGTAACATGCAGCATAGATCTGGAAAATGGATGAACATGGCCCATTTATAGATGATGGATCTACCATCATCTGGTTATTTAACATAGCCATGGAAAATCACCATTGTTGATGGGAAAACTCACTATTTCTATGGCCATTTTCAATAGCTTTTTGTATGTTTACCAGATGGTATCTATAAAGAAATGCTAGATTTCCCCCATATTTCCCACAGCCCACAGCTGCCGCCTGGGGCTCTGGGATTGCCACCAGAAGCCGTAAGGCCAAAAGCCATTGCTGCCCAAGGGCCGCCGCTTCGATGACACCATTCAGGGAGATCCCGTCAGGGCCTTGGTAGCCATCGTTTTAGTGGTGGTTGATAGATCACCATGATTTTACCATGATTTTACGGGTGCTTCGTCATGTTTAAGATCCACAAAACATTGGGATTTCACGAAAGATTCAATGATGATTGAAACGTGAGAAACTCACGTTTCAAGTTCTGTCTTCCAAAAATGAAAGATATGGTGTTTGGTTCATGTATTCTACAAACATGAGGTCGTTTGGAAAGCTTCTTAATGGTCTGCTTGGAGCTAGGAAAACCCGGGAACATCCCGAAGGTCGGTTGTATTTTGGCGGGGGCCCCAGCGAATCGCATACATGGTCGTCATGTTCTCGAAAATGCTCCTCGGAAAAGAGCTGACTGACCAGTCTACGACCCCATGATGTCTCCGAAAAAAAAAAACACATCCATGAAGCACTCACAAATTACCCTCTGGTAAACTAACATAACTATGGAAAAACAAAAAGCTTAATGGGTAAATCAACTATAAATATCTATAAATGACCATTTTCCATAGCTATGTTAGTCATTACCAGAGGGTAAATTTGATATGAAGGGGATTATTTAATCTTGAAGCTTCAAGTTTGTTCGTGTTTTCGAGGCCATTTTCAGATGGTTATGTCACACTGAAAGTCACGGCTTTCTTTGGCGGATGGTCACGAGCACCCCACTACCATAGCCATTAAACTTGGCTGATAGCCAACCCCCAGAGTGTTTAGACACCTGAACACATTACTTGTCCGACTTCGATTTTGCTGCTTCTGACTGCACCTTGCCAAAAAACTGCGATTTTATTTCTTCTGATGTTTCCACAATTGTTTGTTTTACATGACGGTTGCTGCTGTTGTTGCTGTTGTTGGTGATGGTGGTGATCGTTGCCTGTTGGCTGTTGTCGTTGTCGTTGCTTCCTAAGCATGTTTGATCACCATCCAACGGTTGCCAGAGTCCCATCTTGCTTGTTGCGCTGTACAAAAGCGATATTCACAGCAACCCCATTGTTTACTCTCTGGTAACCGTTTACATAACTATGGAAAATCACCATTTTTAATGGGAAAAGTCACTATAAATGGCCATTTTCAATAGCTAAGCTATGTTAGTTTACCAGAGGGTAATGGAAACTTTTCGTAATTTCCTTTGACACAAAAACCAAAGTACATCCCCAATCAACATCGTTTTATTGATGGCGATTTATCGCCAGTTGTTTCAGATCCAGATTTGTTGTTTCAATCCTCATTGCTGGGTTGGATCCCAATTTTTGGTTGGCTTCAACCACGTTAGGCCATGTAAAAAAGCGCAAGATGTTTCTCCGTAAAATCCGCATTTCTGTGGTTTCAGCCACGTGAAAAAGCACCATTTGGGTTTGTCTGAAAATAGTGTACCCCTACACCCAATGGTTTTGCTGATCACTATCCCTACGAAATGGCTATTTCATTGGGGGTATACCCCATTTTCAGACATACCCATTTTTTTTAACGCTGGTGAATCTCCCAAAACAAAAACGCAGCCGGACATAAACACAAAACAAGCGGCAGCACGGCGCGCCAGCTGCCGGCCTGTCCACAGGTGGAGATTAGGGCCTTGGTGATCGCCAAGATGATATTGATGGTTACCCTCTGGTAAACTAACATAGCTATGGAAAATCACCATGTTTAATGGGAAAACCATGGGAAAACCATGGGAAAACCATGGGAAAATGGTGATTTATATGGAAAGTCCCACCATTTTTAATGGGAAAATCCATTATTTCTATGGTCATGTTCAATAGCTATGTTAAATTACCAGAGGGTAATATTAAAAATTGTATGGATCATATCTTGGTGATATATTCACTATATACATATATGATTGATTGTTAATCGATATCGCCAGTATCAATCATATAGTGAGAATATAGTGATAACGAGAATATATCATATTACATCAATATCGCACAAACATAATCATTAATATGTAGATAATGAGATAGTACATGATAGTACCATGTATAGAGATTTAGTAGTGATAATAGTAGCCAATGTTGATATTATCTATGGGGATAGAAAAAGCCAAAATAATATTGGTATGCGATGCTATCGGAAGGAATTGAGGGACCTTACTTGGTATATCTATACTATATCTATTGTATATTTAATATCATTACTATTCCTGGTATGCATTATTATATCTAGTGTATATAATTACGGATATTCACAGGCTAAATAGACGATAGATAGATATATAGCATATATGATAGGTATGGTCTTCCTCTGATCTCATCTGACTCTTTCTCTGATCTGACTCTTCCCACCTCTGCTTTTCCATCTGTCCATATTGTCGGAAGTTTGACTTCTAGATTTCCTTCGATAAGTACTACAGCAAAAATTGCCGCAATACAAAAATTGAAACAAATTGAACTTTTTCCAAGCGCACGGCACCAAAACAATGAAATCACTCAATCACTAAAGCTGTGGTGACGCCAAAATTGAACTTTTTCCAGGCGCACGGCCTCCCGATACGACTTCTACGAGCTGATACGACTTAACGCTAGCGCTTGTACAGGAAGAACGATGGAAGCAAAGATTGGAACTCCTTCGCACTGCACTTCCAAGGTCCAATGCCCAAAACTCCGAATGCGAAAAAAGATAGTGGTCAATCAGGATGCCTAAAGACGCTGATCAATGACAAGGACAGCAAGGATAGCATGAATCATCATCAGTATAAAGTACAATCAATTGGGTATGGATCAATACCTATTTTTCTACCATTTTTAGTGGATTATTCACATCCATAAATCCCAGCTATTTTGAGGTGAACTACAGGTTTTGACACACTGCCAATTACCATCGGTTTTCCCCATCAATTGGCTGATTACATACCGCATTCGCATCGTCCTGTGGCTGATGTGGCTGGGAGTCCGACGTTCATGGTGGACACGCTTGGCACAACCTGCTGGACTCACAATCACCAATTTCTATGATCAGAAAAGATTAATGATTTATGATTAATGATCGTTAGTATCAAGAATTTCTATGATTTAATATGATTTAATACGTATGACTTGTTATGATTCAGACTTATGATTGATGATTCAGTAAAATCTATCACACTTGATGATCATTGAAAGATATTGAAATTGACCAATGGTTTACAAACATGCCGATGTTTTAATGGATTCCATGACGGTCATTTCTTTAAGAAGGAATGGAGTACCATTTTTTGTGGATCCACAAATTTGACTCAGAGCCTGGTGACTGTGATGAGCAGAAAACCTATAGCCGTGTATTATATTATATATATATGCATGCATAGCGTCATATCCATGATATATGTATATATACCCTCTGGCTATTTCACATCGCGAAGTGGACCGTTTCAGCGTGTTGCAATAGGTAAATCATATTTAAAAAGTGGTGTTTACATATGTTTACCATCCATTTTTTCTGGTCCATCGCAATTTCAATCACCAGGACATAGAGCCCACCTCGTTCTCTTGCATCTCAGCAAAGAGCTCCAGGGCATGCTGCCAGCGCCTTAGCCACATATACACATGTACACATATACCCAGCTACGATTATTCCAGAAGATAGGGTTAATGATTTGCAAGTGACTTGTAACGGCAGGCACAACTGGTATATATTGGTCCTTGGATACTCAAATACTCAGTTCCCCAAGGTTCAAAAAAAACAAGGAAATATCATGATTCTCATGGTTTACCTCATTTTTCCGTAGGTTTTCTCGTTTTACCTCATGTTTCCACAGGTTTTCTCACTGTGAAATCACATCTTTGTTCCTGGGTTTTCACCGGGTCCCTACCTGGCAGGGCGACAGCCGCTGATGACGCTGGTGTAGGCCATCTCATCTTGCTGCAAACTAACCTCCTGGGGCGCTGGGTGACGGTGATCGAGTCGACTTCTTACGGGTTGTCAAGACCTAATAGAGAAAAATATGGTCTATGTATATAATACATATATATATGTATATGTAAATATGTATATATATTATATACAGCACATATGCAGGTTTGATCCTAAAATCTAAGACTTTATCTTTGGAAAGTAACGGGTTAGAGCGCAAATTGGTCATGTGAAGCCGTTGGGATCATAATCCCCGTTTTTTTGATCCATTTTTCACCAATCTGTCCTCCAACCAACCGCGAACCATGTGAAAATACGGCAGAGGGAATACCCTCTGGTAAACAAACAGTTTGCTATTGAAAATGGTCATAGAAATAGTTGATTTACCCATTAAGAATGGTGATTTTCCATAGTTATGTTAGTTTACCAGAGGGTAAGACAATCCAAAAATTCTTGAGGAATCCGACTGGCAACAGGAGATCCTGCATCCAGGATGATTTCTGCTGGCTGTCCCTCCACACTATTGTTTTACCATCCTTCTCCATATCAACCAGAATTACCATCTGGTACTCTAACAGAGTTGTGGAAGCCATGGCCCATTTAGTTAGAATGATTTGCCTATTACATGTATGGTGATGTTCCATAGCTATATAAAAAATTACCAGAGGATTTATCCATATTATCCATTATTATCCCATATCCCCATGTTCGGTTAAACATCCCCATGATTCAATATGTTTCAGGTTTACTCCACATGACTTCTTTCAGAGGTTTTGGTTATATGTGCCCGTGACATATCCCCATGGGATTCTGGTTCACATATCTTCCCATGGGGATATTAACATATGTCTCAGTCATTTCACCTAAGCTTCACAAGGTGCCGAAAAAGATATCCCTACTGGTTGGTTGAAAGCGGTTTCTCTACCACGGGGCAGTTCATTATCCCTTTTATATGGTTTAGCTAGTAGAGGTCCCAACATTGCACCCATCAACAATGGTGCCTTCACCGATGGTATTGATCAATAAGAAGCATTAATAACATTTAACAACCATCAGAATCATGATTCTTGAATTAACTATCACCACCTGTCATGTGGGTAAATTACAAATAAACCACCAAAATGACTGGGAATGGTAAGTAACCATACCACCTATAAAAATGGTGACTGGGGGATGATAACTTTCTAACATTGTTTTACCCGCATTAGTTGGTTTAACATTAATAACCATATTCATTTTGATTCATTTGGTTTAATAACCAGGAATAAGCATGAATAACCATTAATAACCAATAGTTAATAACCATTTGTTAGCATTAATAACCATTAATAACCATGAATAACCAACGGTTGGTGGCAACATGGCCAATTTAACGCTTCTTTTTTGTGCCCAAAAGCCCCATGGTCAAGGCGCCCGCATCTCGGAGAAGAGGTGCAATGCACTGCTCCACACGCTGCGTTGCGACAAAAAGGAGATGAGCAGCGCGTACCTCGGTCCGTTGACCGTTGACCGTTGCCATGGCGCCCAAAAGCCCGTGGGGAAAAGCCCGGAAATTCCCAGCAAGCCATGTTTGACCTTGAGGGTATCTACAGGGTATGAATCTGGTAAAGAACTGCTTGGTGAAGCCACGTCCAAAAAACATCGGATTCTGAGAATACACATGACATGTTACTATCCAAAAACATCGGATTCTGAGAATACACATGACATGTTACTATGGGCATCTATGGGCCATAGTATTTACACTTGTAGTCATGTGTGTGTGTATTTCTATATGTACACACACACACATGAGATAAACGCATATACCGAGCAATCGTCGTGTCAAAAAGACATCAGGATATACAGCGGCGATTTTGGTCCAAGGCACTCCTTGCTGTTGAGTTTATAGTGGAAGCGCAGCTGCGAAATGAGACCCGCTGCCTCATGGTGAAACTGCTGAAAAATCACAGCATTTTCCACCGATCTGCATGTGAAAAATCCCATTGTACCTAAAGGGATGTTTACTCTGAAAATCCGATGATATGGTATTCATGCCGTTGGTTAAACAATGCCTTGGTGCATATACCAAACCTGGTATTTATACATCAGGTATACCTGGTGGATTCTTTAGGTAGTTGAAAAAATTGGGTGTGCAACGGCATTCCGAGTTCTTCCCGAGTTCTGGAGTAGTTTTTGGCTGGAAGTTGTTCCTCTGGAAAAATCATAGGTGGTAATTTTTGGTAAAGTAACAGACATAGCTATTGAAATATTGCCATAGAAATAGTTGATTTACCTCTTAAAAATTGTGATGTTCCATAGTGTTTGTATGTTTACCAGCGGGTATATAGCTGAGTGAATTGTTAGTGATCCCTTTCAAAGCTTCATGTTGCCAGCAACCTCAGTGGCTCCAAAAAAACAAAAACAGGCACGTACCCATGTGTGATTACCCTCCTAACAAATATGCTTGGCAAAAAAAAACATAGTATATACATATATACACATACTATGCTTTTCAGAGCAACGTCTCTCAAAACCGATTATGACTTTCCAGCATTTCCCAGCCATGTTGGTGAACTGTCCATCTTTTCATCGTGAAATCTCCATTGATGAACTCCTTACTGGACCCCCCATATCCCTCATCCTGGCCGCCTCCGTTCCGCTTGTCCCGGCACCCTTGGAGAGCTTTTTGAAGACGTTTTGCTGCGCGGCGTGGCGTAAACAGAGTGGGAAAAATCCCAATGCCTTAAAAACCTTCCATTCAACCCATTTGTGGCTTTGTAGATGATTTATAGTAAAAAAAAAAGGGTTTCCCACATGAGGTAAAGAGATATGCTGGAGTTATGTGAAATAGCCCGAAGCCTTTGGCTAAAAAAAAACGATACGATACTTTCTAGTCGTGTTCAGTAAAGATGTAAGATGTTTGTGAGATTTTCCTAAACATGGAACCAGTATCCGCAAAATGGAGGGTCCCATATTAATGTGTGATGGTGAAATCCCTATGTTTGATGGTAAAATTCCAATTTTATATGATGGTTTTTTACCACCCAGAAGACCTCTCAAAATGTCCATGTTCGGACGGTTTTTCATACGCAAAAAATGGCGAAATCCCAAGTTCTGGCCCAAAATAAGTGTGTTAAGAACTGGTATGATATACCCATGTTCCCATTATATATATATAATTATTAAATGTCCATGATTGTCTTATATTGTCATATCCCAATATATCCCTTACCCTCTGGTTATGACTAACAGTTCGCCATGGAAAATCACCATTTTTAATAGGTAAACCATCTATTTCGATTAGGGCCATCTGTACCATGGCAAACTGTTAGTCATAACCATTTCGGGTAAATCCTATTACTGTAAGTCCCATTAGATCCCATTCAACCACCATTTTAGATCCCATTAAATCCCATAAAACCAACATTCAACCACCATTAAATCCCATTAAATCCCATTAAATCCCATTAAACCACCAGAAAAGCACCATTTTTCATAGCTAAACCATCTATTTCTATGGCTCATCTTCCGGGGCGAACGACATCTAAACGACCCCGCGCACCCCCCGCGCACCTTCCAGGTACGGCTCCGAACCTCTCCATCCTGAGACGAGGCATTCGGAGATGGCTATATGTGGTATGTACATGTTAAAATATATACATATAATATATATATAACAAATCTGGAATGAATATATATATATATATATATGTATCTACATGTATATATGTATATATATAAGATGTATTATATGCTATATACATATCCTCTATATATATATATTCAACAGGTATTTCACCCATTTGAAGCCCAAAGATGTGACCGTTTCACGGCCCAGAGGTGACCAGCGTTTCATGCAACGAAGTCCTCCATGGCAGACCATGGCATAAATTCCGATCCGGCGTGAAACTGGAAGGCAACTGGCGCGTTATACATACTCTATAGAGACATACATATTTGTTATCTGCATACATATATATATAGTATACATTACAATGTATCTACATATTTCTGAAAAGCCCTTCCTCCAGCTCAACAAAAAAAACTGAAAACAACCGTCCTCCAGGTTGGACGAGCGCCTCACAAGGCGCTCGCTTTCTTCAGCCGTGTGGGTGCTTCATCGTTGGGTGGCTGTATGGAATGACAGTGTTATAACGCTATCTTCATATGTATCATTAAGCTATCTATAACTAAAACAATATATATATATATGTTATAAACTATATATATATGTGATTTCTATATGTATATTGGCTGAACACCTCTATGACCTTCGTAGATGACACACTCCCACAACTTCAGGATTGTCCAAAAACGGGGATTGTCTCCCTAAGTTGAGAAAACCCTTTGCAACTCGTCAATGGTTTCCCCAGTATCGGGTGCCCAAGCAACGAGGCCAAATCTCAAATCTCCCAGTGTCACGTTCCCATGTTAAGGAAGCATTCAATCCTTACTTCCGTTCACCAAATCATATGTAAAAAATCCCTGTTACAATCTGGTACTCAAACATGGCAATGGAAAATCCACTATTTATAGATGATGCAAACTATAAACCTCATGAAACCTCTGTTTAGATCGGGCATTTCCCACGTGAAACACACTGAGGGACGACCTGTTGCGCTTCTGCATGGGAGCCGGAGCATCAAATGACCTGGCCTGCGGATTTGGCCATGGGAGATGATGGGGTGCGGCTGTCTCGCCATGGAGCTCCACAAAACCTCCATTTATTGCTGTGTTTCCCATGAAAAAACCTCCATTGATAGAATAGTTTTCCCATAGTTTTCCGTGCTTTTCCATGATTTGTGGCTTTTGTTCTCATATTCCCAGAGGTTTCCCATGTGTTTCCATGATTTATGGCATTTATGGGTGTTTCCCCCATATCTTGCCCATGATTTTCCATGATTTATGGTTGAATCTCCCAGGCCGGCGCCTGTCTCAACTTCTGTCGCTCCAACGTCTGTTTGGCCTCTTTGGCATCAGCACCTGCAGATCTTGGGGAGTGGAAAAGACCTGGAAATTGATGGGAAAGATGTGATAATTGTGGATATTATATATATATATAGATAGATATACCTATATATTAATATATATATATATAAGATTATATTAGTGTGTGTGTGTTAGTTACATGTGTGTATGTACAGGTGTGTGTACATTGGACGACATTCTCAAGCTGGTGTGAACATGAACCATGCCAAAGTTGTGAACACATTTGCAGATTTGATGGTGCCCAGCACATGTTGAGGCAAAATATGTGCTCTCAAACTCACACTCCAACACAAACTCCTCTAAATACTTGAATCAATATGATTCCGGCTGATGTTTCAGAGGTTACCCTCTGGTAATTTAACGTAGCTATCCAAAATGGTCATAGAAATAGTGGATTTTCCCATTAAACATGGGTGGATTTTCTATAGCTATGTTAGTCATTACCAGAGGTTACATGTCTCATGCCTGGAAACTGGAAACTGGGTGATGTTCCTCACATTTCCTCACAGATCAGACCATGATGGAGTCGATCCCAAGTTTTCGAAAAGCAGTACCCTCTGGTAAACGTTTTGCCAAAAAACCATGGAAAGATCCACCTTATAGCTGGCTAAATCCACTATTTCGACTGGGCCATTTTCAATAGCTTTTTGTATGTTTACCAGAGGGTACATCAAACCAAGAGTGGCCCAGCTGACCGCACCTTGGCATGATGCAATGGCCTGGAAGGGGGGCGAGGCGAAATCCTGCAGCTCATAGACTATTGGGAACTGTTGTTGGGAACAAACGCTGTAAATCATGGGATGTTCATCGGATATGGGGCTTTAACATGCTTTAACTATCAATCAATGAGTGGATCTGCAACTCAAGTGAGCTATCAATGCAGCTTTCGTACTTGCAGAGTCTTGTTGCTCCGGGATGACATCTATTGAATCTGTCTCCATGGCCATCTCTTTCTGATTCTTTGTCAGTAAGAAGATAAGCCGATTTCAAAATCCCTTATGTACACCACTGGCCCACTGGAGAAAGGGCTCACGTGAGGCCACATGCCTTTGGTTTGAGCTCAACAATGATCTGTTTGAGCTCTTCCGTGCCAACGTTGAGTACGGCGTGAACAGCAGGACTTGCCAGTTCCACATACGTCAGCTGCATGGCTTCCTGAAATTGTGGCGCTCCCCGCAGCTGATTGGCTTCATCCAGGGCCTGCGTCTGGCTTGGTTTTAGGTTCACGAAGAAGTAGTCCAGAAGGTGTTGGTGCAAATGGCACTGCTGCCCCGCGGCAATGCGGAAGTCCCAAACGTTCACCACATCGTTGTTGAGGAGCATCTTCGTGCCCACCTCTCCCGAAACGGTCGAAGTCGCCATCAAGGGCTTTGTGGGCTCCCTGGTACCGTGGGGAATCTCCACCAGCAACGCCGTGGCTCCTTCGATCCTACAGCGACCTTCGAAGGGCATCCACAGCACGTCTTGCTCCTGCAGACGCGGCAGACGGGTCTCGTCATCGGCACTGACGTGGCCTCCATCAGCAAGTGCAACGACAAAGTAGTCGAAGCCCTGCTTGACCTCGTAGACGAAGGCGTCTTTGGCCGAAATCGACCAGACACTGCAGGCACGCCCATGGTACAAGGCTGTGTCAGTCGATAGCGTCGTTTCCATCGTTGCAAAAATGCACTTCTGGAGCACAATATGATATATGATGATATATGAATGTGTCTGAAAATTGGGTGTACACAAAATCAATCAAAATTGTGGCTATTCCAATGGGCAACTTATGATTAACCGATGGATTTAGGGATACCGGGATACCTAATTTGTTTGGCCAAACCCGCTGGCAGTTGTTTGGACCTTGAGGTCATAGACATATCATAATGTGTTGTTGCAGTTTCAGTGGCATGACCAAAAAAACCTTGCAGTTCCTTATTGGTTTCCCGTAGATTTCCGCCAATGGAATCCAATGACTTCCAGCATGTGGGTCATCTATGCATGTAACACCAGCGTGATAAAATGTCCTGTACATTTTGAGTGATATATGTTCTTTGTTATCCAAAAAATGTGTGTCACAACTATTTTTGGTGGTTATTCCTTACACTGCTTCTTGCAGTGTGTCATCCACTCTTTTGTCATTTGTTGGATTCCACAAAGTCACCCCCAGATGCATACACCCTGGCTGCCAAATTAATCCTCTCCCGAAAAAAAAAAACGATCAGATGCCTACTGCTAATAAGATAGAATCCCCTAATCAAAAAACTCTGGGGGTTGCGGATGTGGAGTTCTGTATCATGTGTGTACATATATATGTATATACATATGTATATATGTTTTTTAATATATGTACACACCATGGTACGACCAAACACAAATGCAAAATGCTCATATTTCGAAGTATTCGAAGGTATTTGCATTTCTGCGCATTCTGGATGGTTTATATATATATGTGTGTGTATTATATGTATAATGTATATTATATATGTATATGTATGTATATATTCATACATGCATACACATGGGTTTCTCCAGAAATGTGACCATTGATCATCAACACTTTTGGCCATTTTTCAACATGGTAACGTTCTGGCCTCATTCAGTGTGGCAGCATCCAGGAAGTATCCAAAGCCTGGCATCCCGTCGACTTCTGGGTCCACTGGGTATGTAGGGATCCAGCATATAAGCCAATAGAAAATCCAGAAACTGCAGGAACTTTCTCCCTGAGGTTTTCGGGGGTTAGCGCAGACCCGCTTGGTTAGGCCACTATTGTGGAGGGGTTCATCGAATAATTCATGGGATCAATCATTGAGATACATCCTCCTTATATAATATACATATGTATATACATATATTTACACATGCGTAGAGGACCCCAATGGACTTTTCGGAAGGTTTTTGAAGGGATTCATGGTTGTCAAAGTTTCAGGCTCACGAAGTTTCAGTCAAAAGCTGCACCAAAGGGCTCATCATCTCAGTTTGGACCTATTACTGCGACCCAGCAATTATTGAGATTAATCACAATTATATGAACTAAACTCTTCAGCTGATGTGATCCCAAGCTAGCAACTTTTGTCTGTCATATTTTACCAACTGTTGACATTTTCACCCTGCCTTTCTTCAGGTCACGCTCGCGATTTTGGGGTGGAGCCAATATATGTATGTATATATATATATCCATCCATGATATATCCCATTGTATCCCTCTGATATACCCAGAATCTTACACCCCCCCCCGTTTTTTTGTGGTTAATATCACCCCGTTTATGAGTCCCGGTTTGGGTAAACCCAAGTAGATTCTTTTTCCCATCAAAATGTCCAAATACATTGATGATCCCCAGCTTTTCAGAGATAACCCTGGTTAGCTCACGCAGCTATACCCACTTGCATATGTTTAGATAGGGTACCCCAAAAAATGTCGTGGTTGAGAGCCATGTTTCCCTTCTAGAATGACCATCAGTTGGTGCATCTGCCATTAAACAAAGCCACATCATTAATATAGTTGCTGCAGTATCTATCCCGTATCAGTACAACTACTGTCCATCCGAATGAAATGGTTTCCTACAGAAGTATGCCGAACCGCTTTTCTCCCTGACAAACATCGGAAGGTCATTGGAACGGAAACTGGCAACCGGTTCAAATAAACCCCACTGACTCCAACCGGTGATTGTCCAGTCATCACTGGGGTGCAATCACTTACGATTCCTGGAATTTTCACCACCACCCATTGGATGTTAGGAAACCCAAAACAAAACGGTTGTGCTGTCCATAGAATCACAATTCCCAAAGCGGAAACCAGTCCTTCTCCCATCCCCTTTTTTTTCACAGCCCCCTAAATTCACCATGCGAAGGGATGAAATGATCCATTTCAGGGGGATGCACCATGAATAAAGGGATGGTTCATGGCACAAGTTAACCATCGACTTAATAGGGTTTTCCATTATAATGATCCATTTAAATAGGATTTTCCATTACTGGTTGGTGGTATACCTACCCCTCTGAAAAATATGAAAGTCAGTTGGGGTTACTATTCCCAATATATGGAAAAATAAAAAAATGTTCCAAACCACCAACCAGATTATAATTATAAACATTTAGGAAACCACCATATCTGAGTGAACCATCCCATCTCCATCTCCACCTTCTAAGGTCTCAAGCACTTCGCAGCTGCTACGCCAGGCGTGCGCCTTCCGGCAGCTGCTCAGCGCCTTGCGGAAGCCTTGGGAAACGCCAGGATTCCCATGAAATCTGGAGATATTTGATGATCCCCGTGTAGTGGCAGGGGGGGTGGAACCCCAACCCCGAAAAAAATGAAATAAAATGCAGGGGCCATTTTAACAAAATGTAGATAAAATTATAGGGGCATAAGGTAAGATATGATAATCCAAGCAAAATACACTGGAAAAACACAAAGAGAATATGGCGTCGGGCCCCCCCCCACCTGGCAACTGTTGGGCGTCGGGCCCGTGTTATATTTCCTTGGCTCGTTGACATTTCCTTAGATCCTTGACACTTGTACAGTGTGATATGCATAGTCATTACAGTTTCAGAACTTATTTCATCTCTAGCATTTTTGTTATACATTAGGATTATAGTTCTTACACACGATCATGTCATCTTTATTTGTCATGTTGTTTCATATTTATTTTTTCAAAAGTTAGTTTCATTTTTCTTATATAGCATCTTATAACACGAAGGTCTTGTAAAGTTGATGTTTTTTAGTCTTGTGATTTTGATGAGTTGTTGATGAGATAGATTACAATATCATATGAGATAATCAGATACAAGTTCCAGGGATCGCTAAGCTGAAAATAGCAGAAATCAGGCATTAAAAAAGGCCACCTATGGCAATAATTCCCCAAATCCAATTCCCATCATTCCGACGTCACCTCGTGAGGTCAAAAATTATCACCTCCCGTAGATCCATCTTTAGCCGTGATCAGGTAGATGGGTTAATCCCCCTGTTTTGGCTGCTTGAACCTTCTTGGGTCTTTGGATATCTACTGTACGGTCATCCATTCTTGGATTCCTTGGGTGGACGGAGTACAGGAGGCCATTCCGATGGTCCCAATCTGTAAATCCCCACGAAAAACCATGGTGAAATCCCATGGTTTCTGGGGGTGTTCAATATCAAAAATTGGATGGGAAAAAGGTAAGTGTCCGCTAAGCGGGGAATGATTCGATAGATGGAAATTCCCTACCAAAAAAACACCATTTTTCGGGCATGGGATGATCTTTTCCAGGTTTCTCAGGCCCAGGCATGCGAGATCCGGCACCAACATGGTCAGGCTGTTCCTAGGGAAAATGCGCAGGAAACCCCCAGGTTTTTTGGGGGTACATCATGGTTTGCTGTGTAGTTTCCCCCTATACAAATCCAATTTTTTATCCAATGGAAAGAATCCTATATATATATAATCTGATATAATCTAATGATGGATATCCAATGATATTCCCATTTGGCTTCGAGTGGGTCACGAATATCGGATTCCAGCAGAGGCTGAAAATCTCAACCGGCGCCCTGCTGGAATCAACATGGATATCATCCGCACGTGGCAGACTGTGGTGCGATAAAGATGAATTTCGGAAAGACAGACGGGCACGTCTGTAAAGAAGCGTCCAGAAAGCAAACCTTGGCAATGGAAAAGATCATCTGGAATCGCACCATGTACCCTCTGGTAAACTAACAGTTTGCTATTGAAAATGGCCATAGAAATAGTGGATCTAGCCATTAAAAATGGTGGGACTTTCCATATAAATCACCATTTTCCCATGGTTTTCCCATGTTTTCCTATTAAATATTGCCATTTTCCATCGTTTTTTGTAGGTTTCCCAGAGGGTACAATTGGGGGATCTCAAAGAATCTGCCAAAATCCCCGATTCAAAGTGTTGAGAAGCAGCGATCTCTCTAAAAAAAGAGCCTTGGCCTTCTATTTTGCAGATATCATTATGTGTATAAATATAATATGTATATATATATATACAGTATATACATATCACTATATATACATATCACTATATATATATATATATTAATCGTGTGTCCCTAAAAGAAAGGCATCCGCAACTATTTCTTTGATCAACAGACCGATGCTCGGCCATCATGGAGGATCTTCCGACCGTTGGGTCCCCGTTGGGCCGTCGCACAAGAGCCACAAAGCCCACTGCCACGCTGCTCCCTGGGCGTGCCAAGTTCAGCAAACATGGGGAACGTTCAGCAAGCTGGACATGTTGCCCCAAAAAACATGGCAAACATGGGGAGAAACCCACTGAAACCACGGATATTTAACAGGATATAACAGGATATAACAGGATATAACACCTCTCCAAGTGGGGACGTGACCACTGAAAGACACAGAACTGATCCTGACCACTCAAAATCGGATTAATAGACCTATTCTGATAATAAGCGCAACACCATGTGGGCAGGATCATGACTTTTTAAAAACCCAGGACCCAATCCCAGAGAACCTGGAAAATGCAGTTCCAATCTCTGCTAAAATTGGGGTTAACTGCCACAATGAATTGTAAGGTCTGCATTGGTATTACTTTCAATGGATTGGTTTAAGGGAAAATTTACAGGAAAAGCACATATTTACTGGGAAAATCTATGGTTTCCTGTAGATTTTCCCTTAAACCAATCCATTGATACTTGGGTATGGGTTAACATTGGGGGT